GACGATTGTGCGTGAAAGAGGGCGCATGGAAGAGGCACGAGCCCACTCTATCCCAGCTAGTCTAGAGGTCATGGTCTTGAACATCAGAGCAAGGACATACCGGAGGCATTCCTCTGCACGAGCCGACTGAGGTAGAAACAGTGGAAACGCACAGAGCGATACAGACATGACACCAATCAATCAAATGATAGCAGGATATTAAAGGGGGTGGGGGAAAGCAACATGGTGAGTTCCTTCTGCCGTTTTTTTTTCTTCTGCTTTTCTGTTATTGTTGTTTGTTTTTCTTTTCTTGTTTTTGGGGGGTTTTTTCCGACTTTAGCGCGACCAAAGCACCAAAGCGACCAGAACGTACCGGAGCGTAAGGCTCGTCCAACTGTTCGAGGACGTCACTGCGATGCGGATTCAGAACGAGGAGAGCAGCAAGAATGTGGTATGAGTAAGCGCCAAGCACAAGCGTGTACCACAACTATGCTGTTTGCCCAACTCCACTGGAGTCTTACTCTGGTGGATCCAACGTGTGGCTGCGTTTTCGCAATTCGGACAAGGGTTCCGACAAGGTCAACGAATCCATGGAGGGGAGGTTCAACACGTGGGATGCGGTGATATGCGTGCTCTTGTCAACGCCCGTGCTGGAAGCGTCAGCCTCCACAACATCAGCAGCAGTGGCTGCAGTGGCCGCATCTGGAGCAACACTCGAGGCAGAGCTTGTGCCCATGGCTGCAGATGCTGATGCTGTTGCTGCGGCCAAAGGGTCTACGGCAGGCCCCGAGTGGTCCGCACCACCGTCTTGTATTTGTTGTGCCACGGCTTGCACCATGTCACGCAAAGAATCTATCAAACCGAACAGTGGTTGTGGGAGAGTGAGAGTGAGAGAAAGCAACACGCTTTGAAAGACCACACTGATTTGAAGAACCGAGAAGCACAAGATGGGCACAGATTGTCGTGTGCGCACCTTCGGCTTCAGCCGAGTCGAGGAGTGCCCGTTCATAGGTCTGAAGAGTCGAAAGTATAGATGGGCGCACACGGACACAGTGGGTGAGAATGCATCCACGGGCATGGAAAGGAGGTGAGAGGCGACGCGAGACAATGAGCAAACCTCATGTGAGATGCCTGCCGCCTCTAGAAGCAGGCGATGAATGTCGCGCACAGGCACTTGCACAACCTCGACCTGTCGGGGTATACTATTGAGGTATCTGCACAACAACGCCCAAAACCGCCAAGTCAAGCCGACACGGGTGAGGAGAGTTGGATCCAATGTGTGCCATGCTTAGCCTAGGCACGGCCAAAACATGCATTGCACCAAAAGTGTGTGAGGATCGTACTTGGCCGGGTTCTCGTGCATGGCCGAGAGCAAGACGGGATCGAGCAGCTTGGGCAGCTGCTGTTCCAGATCAATATTGAGCAGAGACGGAAGCCACGCGTTTGGAGGCGCATGTTGATGTGTGGCTGTGGGCTCAGCAACGCCAGCGGCCGTGTGGCTATCGAGAGCAAGGGGGCACGAGGGGTGAGACACGGAGAGGCGAGATGGATGTGACGCGGCACGGCAGGACGAGGAAATGCATGCATGCCCACAACAGGCGCATACCCCTTGGGCTTGGACCCCTTTCGGGTTTTCTTGCCCCGGCCTTTCTTCCCCATGATTGCTGGTCTGACTAGCTCGACCGCACATGAGCGCAGTGCGAGCGGGTGGGGGAAAGGTGGGGCGCGGTGATGTGGTAAATCTAGTCAGCAACGTGGGGTGCAAGGGTACAAGGCAGAGCAAACAAATGAGACGGGACGGAGAGACAGTATGCATGCCATGTCATGAGAGGTGAGGTGTTTGGCTGCCCGCACACACGGATGACGCCTCGGACTACAGTCGAAAGAAAAGACTGCGAGCGCTGCGTCGAGGGTGTTGGACACTGCTTGTGGTCATCAATGTTGTCCCTTCTCACATGGCGCCTCGTCCGAGAATGGAGGAGATGGATAGCACAAAATGACACGATGCCACAATGCATCATCGGACTCACCACAAGCAAGGCCTCCAGGCGTCGGCGGGAGCGTTGGTTCGAATACCCTCTCGCGGTCGCGCTCTCTTCTGTGGGCGTAATGTGATGCTCACGCCCTGGATGAAGGTGACAACGAGACAGCCAGCCACCCCGTCAAATCGGATCGGCCCGGCTTGCCTTATGCCTAAGAGAAGAGACAGGGCAGGCCTTTCCACTGCCCTCACAAATGCAATGACAGTAGCCTCTGAGTCCCGAGACCAAGAGGCAACCAACCACGGTCACAGCGACCAACTGGCGGCGACCCGACGAGTGAAACACAAGAAAAATCCAGTCGCCGCGTGTGTGTGTGTGTGTCTCTCTCTCTCTCTCTCTCTCTCTCTCTCTCTTGTGTGTGTGTGTGTGTCTCTCTCTCTCTCTCTCTCTCTCTTCTCTGAAATAAGCTAAACAACTAGTGTTTTGAACAGGTGTGTAACATGATGATACGAGAATGAGCACGCTACGTCACCTACCTGACTGCTTTCGCTCTTTGTGAACTTGATAGTATACGTCCGAGGGGTGTTGTTCAATTTGTGCTGGAAAACAGCAGCAAGAACGACGACGACGACGACGACGACGACGACGGGTGGGTGCGCGTTCGTCTTGGAGGCCGTGGACGATGAGACACCTGGCCTCTTCTTCCTTCTCTCCGCCCCACTCGCCCCTGCGCCTTCGCCTCGATTGTGCTTCTGTGTAGCTGAGGGCGTTTCTGTTTGGTCGACAAGCTTTAGGCAGCCCACACACACACACACACACACACACACACACATACATACATACATACCAACCATCCCAATCTTCTTTGAAGCTCACACGTCCTATCGTTTCTACAGATCTGGGAGTCGTGATTTACCTGGCATCATGGCGGACGAAGCTGTTGCCACCTTCAAGGTGTTGATCATCGGTGATAGCAACTGTGGCAAATCCAGGTCTGCCTCGCCTCCTCTCTCACACGCTCACGCCGCGCGTCCGTGGCCGAGCTGAGACTCCCGCCTGCTCATGCTAATGTGCGATTTGAGGGGCCGGCAGCTTGCTCATGGCCTTTACTGAGGGCACCTTTGATGAGAGCATTGGCCCCACCATCGGTGCGTACATGGCGCTCGACCTCACTGTACGTGAGGACACACTCGCTCATGCCCACGATGCTACCCGCAGGTGTTGACTTTAAGCAAAAGAGCTTGATGCTTGATGGCAACAAGGTTTGGCCTTGATCCCGCCCGCCCGTGTCTAGGCGGCTCTCCCTTCTCCCTGCCTGATCTTCTCTGCCCTGCCCCGCGCGTGTGCTTTGTCGTTTTTGTCTACTGATGCCGCCGCTCTCCGAGTCTGCCTCCTGCTTCTCTTCGGTTTTGCTCTTCCTGCGACTGTCGTGTTGGCGCATGCGCGTGTCAGAGTTGCCCCCCGGCCTCTTTGCGATCCAACGCCGCTCCTCTCAAGTGTTTGTCTGCTTATCGATGGTGACCTCACCCTCGTGAAACTATGGCTGTTTCGGCCTCAGGTGAACTTGACGCTGTGGGACACGGCGGGCCAAGAACGCTTCCGCACCTTGACAGCCAGCTACTACCGTGGCGCACATGCCGTCATCCTCTGTATGTTGCATGCAGCTCCATTGAGGAGCGGAGACCAGGGGTTGAGCGTGTGTTTTGGGCAGCGTTGACTCACGCTTGGGGCCGGCCGCAGTGTACGATGTGTCGCGCCCGGAGACCTTTGAGCACATTGACATGTGGCTCAACGAGGTCAACGTTTACTGTCCGGAGAAGAAGATTGTCAAACTTTTGATTGCCAACAAGATCGACCTGGTTTGTGCATGACTGTTGCAACTACACTCGACTTTTGACATACCAAGTGCCTCAAAATATGTTTCATGTTTCCCATCGTCGGTTCAATCAAGCCTTTTTGCTCCCCACATGCTGCCTCATATCCTGCTTGATGTTCTGGTCTGTTAGGAACGTCGAGTATCAACGGAAGTGGGGCGCGACTTTGCACGGGACAAGCAGATGATGTTTATCGAATGCAGTGCCAAGACCAAAGCCGGCGTGCAGCAGGCCTTTGAGGAGCTGGCTCAGAAGGTGTTGGACACCCCCGAGCTCTGGAACAAGGAGGCCGTCAAGGGCCTAGACATCCGTGGTGGCAAAGGTGGTGCCACCGATGACCCCTGCAGCGCTTGCTCTGTCCTCTAAAAAAGCTCTTGCACCCTTGCACCCTTGCACACTTGTGCGGAGGAAAGAGGAGGTGCGCGGCGCCAAGCAGCCTCTCCTGAGTAGATACCGGTGTTGACTGTGGATGTATTGTGTGATCCCCTTGTGGTAGCCAACAACTCGACGTTGTAAAGTTTTGTGGGATTGACTGACCCCCCCCCCCCCCCCCC